TTTCTACAATTTGGTATATTTGCTTTCTCAATGCTGGATAGATCATCTTATCCGATTAGATCTTTTTTGCAAGTGACCGCGAACTTTCCGTTCAACATAGTATATGAGATAAGAAAAAAGGAATTGCACTTCGTATAGAAAAAATTATTTTTTTGGGGCAGCCACAGAGAATTTTGCTTTTTTTGAAAACAAGAAGTACGCAATTAAAATAAGGGATCTTATATAAATTGTAGAGCTTTCATGCTGCATCTTGTGGTATATTTTGTTTTCAATACAACGTATTAAGTGATTGGAAATTGAAATGTAAAACGTATCCATTTAATCTGCCTCATCCGTTAGTTAAGTTTTCAACAAAAATAGTTCCTGTCGAAGTTTTATTATTATAGTATTAGTTGAATAGGGATGGAATAGCATAGAAAAATAGAGCTTCGTTTTCTCTGTCACCCAAAAAAAAAAGAAAATTTCCTCAAGCCTTCTATACAAAAATAAAGTATCTCCGTCACTATTTTTGGATACCCCTAAGTATTAATGTGTAATGTTTAACGGTGTCATCTTTACTCAGAAACATAATTGATAATGCATGCTGAGCGGAGTAAATAAGAGTTTTACAAAGTGATCTTCCTTTGCTGCAGTTCGTATACTGTGACAGACACGGTAGAAAAAAAGTATAGCATTATACGCTCATGTTGATGCTTGTGCTTAGTACAAAATGTCAGATCAATGTACATATCGTCGTCTCGAGTCATTAGCGACACTCGTTCATATTTCATGTTCTAATTATGACCAGGGATTGTCCTAAAAGCTTCTTGGTTAATAATAGATAACCTTATCTGCCTATCTTGCTACTGTTAATTATTTTTCCACAATATTAGGCTCATCTCTTTTTGTAAAATTTCTTAATTAATCTTAAGTATAATTCTAAGTTGATTTTGTGATCATATTGACAATTGAAGAATAGAACAAGTATATGCAAATTGTTGTACTGAAGTAGTTACTAAGTGTAATTACAGAATAAAGCGTTACTTAAAAAGATATAAACTTTGTAATCTTCCATCTCTTAAGGATTGCGCTTAAAGCATATGAATAGGTAAACTATGCCAATAATAAGATTATGTTCATTATAAAATTGTTTTCAAATTTTAACCGCATATTTCGATTTTATTGTCACTTAAAATGGATTGAAATCGGGATAAGAAGGTAAAATGATAAAAGAAGCGATGATAGTAAATTTGGAAAGTTAAACAATTTTGTACATTGCTTCTGCGAAATAATACAATATTGCAAAAAATCAGTCACATATGCAGAATAAAATTGATAATTGCATTAGAATGATAAGACACAGTTTTGAGAGGAAAATTCTAGCGAAAATACTGTATATGAGAGACAGTTATTTTTTATATTCGTACATAGCGAGTCAAATAATGCAGTTCTGTCTTGCAAATCATGTATGATATAAAGCAGACAAATTAATCCACCGAATGGATTAAGACAAGTATCATAGCATATTGGTGCGATTGGAACACACCGTCGTCATACAAACAAATATGACAAAAAATATGAAGCACTGTTCCTTGCTGACTCAAATTCAACATATGGTCAAGACAAAATTGCAATAAAAGGACGAAAGGAGGGGATAGTGTGTAATAAACATTGGGTTTGATTTTGAGCTCGATCCTTTTTTTTTGTTGAGACTTTCCATAGAGAGAATACTGAAGTTCAAAACTCACCTGTTGATATTCACAGTTATGTTCTGTAATATGAAATTGACTACTTGAATTGAAAGGCTATAATTATTATGAATGTGTATATATAGCATATCTACTTTCGAACTCAATAATATCACGAAAATAAGACTTTGTATTTATCATGCATCAAACTCGGAACTAGAAAAAGGCTTCATAATGAATAATTATATCACGCTTCGTAAGTATACAATAAATGTAAAGTACATAGTCAAAATATACCCGTATGTATCGAAGCAATACACAAGCATATAAAGAGTCACATGGGATTGATCAATATCTCTTTTTTTTTCATTTCTTATAATAGGTCATCAGAAGTGAGCCAAACGTGACTCCACCGTCCGTGGTTCCCATGTTAGCTGTCATATGAAGAGAATTCTCAATAGATGTCCTTTGTAATCGTATCATGTTGACATTATGACATTAATTATGTATGCTAATATTTTTATTACAGAAACGCATGCTAATTAAATAAAAACAGTTAGATATTACTACAAAAAATATTTCCAAGTTACGATCTAATATGTTGAATTAGCTAATTTAATTTATAAGAAACAAGGAGAGCTAATTAGAAGAATAGCTGTTGTTGTATAAATACAATATTGTTGAATCGATGAGTTTTATTTGTGAATAAAAAATATTTTTGATGATAAGACTTAATTAATGAATTTTCAATTTGTATTCATAAGAAACGTATCATTGTTCCTCCGAGTTTATTGCAATATATTACACTAACGAGGGAACATTCCCAAGTGTCACTTCGCTTTTGAGTCCGGACTCTATGCATAAGGTAGACCCCATTGAGGTATGAAAAACTCCAGAAGAATAAGTGCCCTTAGGCCTTCTGTCTAGAGTTATAGGCATTTTACTGGAATTTTAGCCTTTGGCATGGTATATATCGACAAATCAAATGGCAGTATTTCGACCTCAGATTTTGCCCACAGATAGATTTATTTGTGAGTAGAATACCCTGAAATTTTCAGCTCAAAAGAATGTTTTATTTCTGAGATATTAAAGTCCCAAAAAACAGTAAATTCTAGCATCTTTCGTGGGATATGATTGATTTTTGGGACTTTAATATCTCGGAAATAAAACATTTTTTTGAGCTGAAATTTTCAGGGTATTCTACTCACAAATAAATCTATCTGTGGGCAAAATCTGAGATCGAAATACTGCCATTTGATTTGTCGATATATACCATGCCAAAGGCTAAAATTCCAGTAAAATGTCTATAACTCTAGACAGAAGGTCTAAGGGCACTTATTCTTCTGGAGTTTTTCATACCTCAATGGGGTATACCTTATGCATAGAGTCCGAACTCAAAAGCGAAGTGACATTTGGGAATATTCCCTCGTAAGTAAAGGTTTCGATGAGTTAATTTAATCTCAGTTGTTTTAGCTGTTTTTGATCATTCAGAAAACGAATAGAAGATATTAAATTCAATTCTGCTGCCATTCTCTGTATACTCGAGAGCATAATCGAGCAAAGCTTTCTGAAAATTGTATTGATTCTCCAACTGATCTTTATCTAACTGGTGAAAAATCAACTTTTCCTTTTACAAATTATACTAAATTGTTAATTAAATTGTTCGAGTTTCTATGGGTGTGGGTGTGAGCTAAGAGAAGATCTACACTCACACAGCCACATTTACACTTACACTCTACTTTTGCGATGGTAGCGCAATCTTTCTTTAGTCTACAAAAAGTGAGTTGTACGTATTATTAGTCTCTCATTTTTTCTTATACATGAACGAGCAATTGAACAAAATAATTTTTGTTTGGCTTTCTGTTTAGGTTGTCCCAACTAGCATGCTCTCTTTTGGCAACAGCTGCCAGCTCTCCAGCATTCGAAAGAATCTTGAGTCAAATAGGTCAAATTCTAGAAGCTCGACGTCAACAGTTATCATCTGAATCAATTGATTCACTTATGTTTTTACGAAACTTTTGATTGGCTTTGTATACATTTAAATTATAATGCTTATATTTTGTATTATATGTAGCGTTGTCTTTATTATTTATTGTAAATATTTCTCAAGTTCATACTCTGACTTGAATATGATAATATATTCAGTTGTGATGCTTATCTTTCGTATGAACTTAAGTTTTTATGTGTGTGGTTATACTCACAAATTTTGCCTTTTTTTTATATGCAAAATATTGAAAATGAAGTGATTGATTTGATTAAAACAAAGAATGTAATTTCTTGGGTCGGATTAGGTGCGGGTTTGAAAAGTTCAACCCATGTAGAACTCTACTACGGCGCCACCAGGATGGTCGCTGCTCACAAGCGCGCGAATATAATTATTTTATTTTATTTCGTTTGAGTCAAGTTATTGAGAGAGAAGGCGAAAAGAGACGACACCGTTTAAATGAGTTTATACGATAGAAAAACGTTGAACTCGATGGTTCTCCCTCTCGACAACATAGAGATTGCTATGGCGATCGAAGGACAAATCGAAGGGTCGACTCAACTGGTTTGCTCCTTGCCCTACACCGTTTCCACCTGCAATTACAGTACCCCGTGTGGCTCCTTTTGGCCAACGCATCACTCGATGATTCAACTCGTCTGCCACATAGACAGTGCCCAACCTGTCGACGAAGATTCCTTTTGGATGAGATAATTGCGTCAGGGCATCGCCATAGCCTTGACCCCCAGCTACGATAATTCCTTCTTTGGCACCATTGTTCCATTTCGTGACACGATGACTGTCGTCCGACACGTAAACTGCTTGTTCTTGATCGACGAAGAGATAATAGGGACCGTTGAGTTGATTCAGAGCAGCACCTCTTCCATAGCCACCAGCTACGACTGTTCTCTTCTTGTCACCTATCTCATATCGTCGAACTTCATGTTTATCCCAGACAGAGACGTAGAGACGTCTCTGATCATCCATGGTCAATGTCGCACAATCGATGTTGTCGAGAATGACTTCACTTTGTGTGGTTCCTTGGCGAAGCGACCATTGCACGACCCTTTGATTCCCGTTGTCGCAAATAATGAGACTATTCAAATTTTTGTCGATCAGGACATCGGTCGGCCTATACAATTGATTTAATCTATTTCCTTGACCATTGCCACCAGCGACGACTTGTCCAATTGTTATCGTTGTGTCACTTACTTTCCATTGGACGATGCGGTGATTGTTGTGGTCAGCAATGAACATTGTTTGTCCATTATCATCGAAATCGAATCCGAGAGGGTCGTTAAGTTGATGGGTGGCGTTGCCATTCTTGTTACCTCCAGCAACAGTCAATCCATTATGTACCCATCGTGCATTGGCAGGAATATTTGGAATGACTATACGAAACGAAAGAAAATGCAAAAAGATCCTCCCGTGTAAGAAGACAGCTTAGTGGAACCTCTTCAAAAAATGAGTATTTTCGCCAAGATTCTTCTCTGGGGATGGCCACAAAAAAGGTTCCTTCCGCTCATGTGAACTCAAAAAACTTCTCTCTGTGATCTATGTTCATTCTACAACATCATCCACTGCAAGTCACGCTCAGAGAATCCTTTGAATCAGTATTTTATCCTAGTTCTTTGCGAAGATCTTCTCCGAAGGGAAAATTCTCGCAGATTTCGCACAAGAGACATATCATTTCCTTTAGTTTTCGTGTGAACCTTCGTAAAATTCAATTGCGACTGAAGCATATATTGAGCATTGCGAAAGGCTCTCTTCATACGTTGAGAAGAGAATCGTTCGGTAAGAGCGATAACATAGAGAAACTCTCACCGTCAAGATAGAAGTTATCGAATATGTGACAGTTTTTAAGAACAAAACGAATGAAATTCTTTAATAGGAATAATTCAATGTGTACAGATATAGAATTAAAAGTGAACGAAGAATACATATTGTAAGTCATGTATCCTCGATGACACTGTTGTTCCTCTAAAGAAATTTTAGCCGATCATGAAGAGAAAACATATGTTGACAAAATGATTTGGACATCTTTTTATTCACGGTGTCAACAACGATGTAGTAATTCAGAGTTTATTGGAATATAGCTCTTTTTCAACGGCTACTTAGCTTTACATTATTGAAGATCACAAAGTCAACTAACAAAACTGCTGCATAAATATTGATCTATAGGATGTGAATAATGATAAGATGACTTAGACTGCCGTAGACAAAATTCATTTCGAATAAAGTGCTTTCGTCAGATATAAATTTCAATAATCATTTGTACTAATAAAATGGTGTGGGTGTCTGAGAGAGTAGCAACACCAACGCACATCACACACTCAAAACCCATACGTACACCCACACTTCATTTTTCACTTTTTCTAACACAAAAGAGGTAGAAGCTGTTCGCTTCAAACTTACATTCATCGTTTTCAATTTTCTTAAAATGATAAACGCAGCATCTCTTCATATTTCATATTCAGGACTAGTAATACTATTCTGGTCAAATGTCATGGCACCTTAAAATTCGAATAAATTAGGCGCAGCAACATTATAAGTGTGCACTTCTTATGCACCATTCAATCTTTAAAACTACTTCTTGCTCTCAACTGTTCAAGCCACTTCTGACTATTTGACTATCGAATGCGCCCCATTCTTTTGAAAAAATGCTCGAAAATATGAAAATTTAATTGTGCGTCTAAAAAGGATGCAGGCCACAACGTAAGAAGTTGCTCAGAAAGATCTGAGATTTCTGACTGTTTAAGGTAGATCTTGATTCTCATGCAATGAATTAAAGTCACATCATTTTCATCTTACTTTTCTCTTCTTGTATATGTCTTAGTTGATTTGCCAATTGTTGAATTGTTTCATTATACTTCGTTTGTTCATGGAGAATCTTCTCGTTCAACTGCTCTAAATAGAAAAATATAGGAATCTGAGAATTTTATTCGTAATCGTGAATGCAGAATCTTTTCACGATTGTCAGAAACTGAATTAACCCTTTGGGTTCGGGCGACGCACATGTGCGTCTTGGGATTTTGCGCACTGAATACCTATAGAAAACATGGTGTTTTAGTTAATTATTTAATGGTATAAATTGCATGAATATTTGTATTTAGGATATTTGTGCGGTTAAGGTTATCTATAATTAATGATAATTATGGGTTCTCCCTTAATAATTCAGGTAATCAGCATATTATT